TCAAACGAAGCAAAGCAAAACAAAACAAAAATATATAGTCCCCATATATCTGAGAGCTTTTCTCTGAAATCAACAACAGAGTCAAAGCACCAGTAAAGCTTCCACATTTCTCTATTCCAGGCTGAGACAAGTTTGTAAATACTTCCAGAAATTGCCAAAACGCCTTCAGGGTAACATCTCTAAAGTACACCTCCCTGACATGAAATGCAGAGCACCTTAACTTCTTCAGCCCTCCCCCAGTCATAGCCAGCTGAAAATCTTGCCCTTCAGTTGTTGGAATATCTCATCATGAGGGATGCATTTTTTAGGCTGAGAAATACAAATCCACCTTGACAGAGCCGGTCAGGCATACACATGGGCTGTGCTGCTGATAGGTTTGTACCAAGCACTCCCAGTGTGAGAATAACCTACAGTGACACTAAGCAGCTTTTTGCACACTAACTTGTTGCCTGTATGGTTTATTCCAAACTCCCCACCTTTCTGCAGGAGAAACAAGCTGTATTGGCACTAGAAGTGTTTGAAGATAACCCCAACAGCCTGCTGTAGGTGGCTTTCCAGGCACAACTCTTCACCCCTAGCCAGCTAGTCTAAGTAACTTCCTTGCAACAGGAATAATTGAAACACACAGACTATACGGGCAAGAGGATCTGAGCCTGCAGCAAAAAACGAGCCCTGCAAATCAAGTGCAGGTTACTGGGGTGGGGAGAGTAGATACTGCCCTGATGGAAGCTCCTGATACCCACATTCACCCTAACCCAGCGACTCAAAATGCAAAGAGAGGAAATGTCAAGAGACAGGAAAGTGCAGCACTGAGGAAGCAGGGGCATGGTTTTGCTCCAGCCTGTCTGCAGCAGACCCAAGTCCCACAGGTGGAGGCACACTGTACCATGCACTCAGTGCCCCTCTCCCAACAGCAATCTCAAGAGGTCCCTTCAGAAATGGCTCTCACTGGTTTGGGAGTTCACTGGCACCAACTCACTGCCAGGAGCCAGAGGTGCTAGACAGGGTGGGAACAAGCTATACATGCACAGTTGAGGAACTGCTGGATAGAAATAGAGGTGTTTGGTAACCTGACTGATAAAGAAGAAAGAGTGCAGATAGAGCTGGAGTACTCAAGGTGGGATCAAGCTGTATAAAAATGAAGTGTAGAAAAAATGTGCAGGAACAGAATAAAAGGACTCTATTCCCATCCCACCCTGGGATCCTGAATCCCAGTGTAGAATAAAGGAAGGGCTTCATGTGTTGTGCTGGTGAGAGAGATCCCCATGAAGCAATGGCTCAGGCTCAACCCCTGCAGTCTCCAGGAAAGGAGCTCACAGCCCTGCTGTGGTTGATGTGGCAGTCACCAGAATTGATAACTTGGCATTGAGATATGTTAGGTGTGGCTTTGGGTATGCAGTAAAACCAATGTTGAATAGAAAGTGTCTGTCAGTACTCAGTGAAGGAAGAAAGAATTTCATGAGCCTGGGAATTACTGGAGGGGACTGACTAATTTTGGTAGTCCAAAAAGGTCTGTGCTGGGAAATAACTTCCATGCAATGCCTCTGCAATGTGGGGGCGGAGGCGTTGTACTGAAGCCTTGAGCTGTAGGAGAGTATCACTCAAAGATATGCAATGTTAGCACAGGCCAGAACTCGCCTGAGCCAGAGGATGCCTGCTCATGGCTGAACAGTCCTCCCTGCAGCAGGCTACAGATCCACCCCCTCCCTGCAGCAGGCTACAGATGCATCCCCTCTGTCAGCCACAGCTCCAGCCATGGAGGAGGCTCCTCCTGCCCTGGAGAGCACTGGTGCACCTCTGGGTGCTTTGGAGGTGCTAATACTTTCAGGATCTGGTGCAATGGAGACTCACTCTGTGCCTGGTTTGCCAGCTTCCTTGCCAAGCAGAGACTGTTAGCAGAAGCAGGGCCACTCAGCTCCAGCACAGATACAGTGTCCAGAAAAATAGTCTCCATCTGCTTTCCCATGATCCTAATCCTATCAAAGCCCATTAGAGTTTGGCATTTGTCTTGAACACAAAATAATTTTCACTGTAGGGGAGAAATCCTCATGTCTCTGTTCAGTTCCTGTTTCTTCTGCCTTTATTGGGAGGAATTGCTGTCTGCAATGACAGACACTCCACATTACTGAGAAGGTGGATACTAGGGTGCCAGGAAGAGAATGAGCAGAATAAAACCTTCACTAGACTAAAAACAGTGTGAAACACCAGCAGTCAGGTATTCTGTGAGCCTAGCTTTGCCAGGCAGCTAAAATCAAGTTAATATAAGAAACAACGTGGGGAAGCCAAAATTATTTTGTTATCTTTTCTCTTGCTAGGATTCTGGGTCTGGACAGTAGCCAGCACTCCCTTCCCCAGCATAGGGCTGTGAAGCCTGGAGACTTTCTCCTTTATCTCTGAGCTGCTCATTGCAATGTCTGCAAAGCACTAACAAGACATCTGATTGACCCAAATATATCAGTGATCACAGTTTCAGGAATGCTTAACATGCTGTAAATGGAACAGTTTGGCTGATGTTTAACCCTCTACCAATTGTCTGGTTTTAAAAATGTTGCAGCTTGTAGGCAGGATTATTAGCCAGAGGGCTGGCTCAGCCAAACTCTGGCTATACTCCTTTCAAAGAGTGCAGTGAGGAGGCAGAGTATTTGGGGGAAGAGATGTTTTCCCAGCTATTGATTTAAGGGTGTAGTCACAGTATAGCCTGTTGATTAACTGCCTAACTTACAAGAGGCAAGCTGTAATTGAAATTAATGTCATGCATAACTTGGAGGTTATGTCCGCCTTAATAACAGGAAATCTAGTGTCCTTATCCATGGCAATGGTTCTTCTCTGGGGAGAAATCCCAGTGCAGACACTGGCAGCTGGATGCTCACTAGAAGCATAATTCACCTGAAAGAAACACAAATTCATATAACGCAAAATACGTGTCCAACCTACGTTGGTATAAAATTAGTTTTTTGCTTTCAATAATTTTCCAGCGAGCTAGGAGTTTTCTTAAACCTATTTCGAGCTGGAAAGTGGCAGCGAACAGAGGCAATTCTGTGTCATTTCTTGGGTAAAAATACTGTTGGATAAAAGCCTCCTGCTCAGAGCGCCGGCACTGTTCTCATCGACCACTGTGAAGTGTAACAATCACCAGCTCCAAATCGCTTACCTGGCGCTCACCGCGCAGCTCCTGTGGCTTCAAAGGGCGAAAATGTAAAGCGTCATCTGGCAATAGGGCTACATGGTGGGAGCAGCTCGGGACCTGAATTCTTGGGTAGCAAGAGGAATGTTTGACAGCTTGTATGGCCTTTGAGGGGCGCCAGGCTGGCGAGTATCTATCTCTTTCTATCACCGTGCCCGTGCAGGCGGTGCGGCCGGCGGCTGCAGCGCGGAGCCGGGAGCGGCAGGAGGGGCTGGTGCCACATGGCCGCGGCCGCACCGAGCGCCGGGGAGCGCCCGCTGCGCTCCGCCCGCGAGTTTGAGACAGAACACAGGGAAAAAAGACAGCGAATTCGACTTCTCATTTCCCCCCCTTTTCTTTGCGTTGTTTGTGGTGGTTTTGGGTTTTTTTTTTTTTTTTTTAGGTATTTTAAAATTTTTGTTTTGTTTTGGGGTTTTTTTGTGTATAACTGTGTGTGTATCTGTGGGTTGCTAAGGTGTGTTAGGTGAGTTTGAACGTTTTTAACAAAATTGTGAAAAACAGAGTTCCCTAATGCTTATATTAAAAGAAAATAAACTGTATTCCATCCAACCTGGAACACTGGAGTGTGGCTGGAAAACGGAGTTGTTATGATACCTCAGGAGAGCAGAAAGAGTTCAAGAAACAAGAAAGGGATTTTTTTTCTTTTGCAGTAGTTAAGATTCTGCGTGCAGTGGTTTTGCTGCACTGATCCAACTTCAATAACTACTTTGGAGGATAGCCACGGCAATGATAGCAGAAGGGAGAGGTGTTCAATCTCATTCTGCTCACAAACTTGTCCTTTGCAAGAGAGGTGCCCAGTTAAATACTGAAAGAGCAGAGCTAAGCATCTTTGCCACGAGAAGGCAGAAAAATTGAAATGGGGAATAGAAAAATAGCTACTCTTCTAAACACCTCACAGAGACACAACTTGAAAAGAAAGGCTGTCTGTCGCTCCCTCTGGCAGGATATCCCGCGAGGGGGGTTAACCCCTCTCAAAAGGGTTAAAATGCCAGGAAAAGGTGGTCCGTGACACACCTGGTGCTCGAGCTCTGCGCACATCCCGGCGTCAAAGGACGCGAAGGGCGCTGCCCTCCGTGCAGGCGGGCCCCCGCCGAAGCGGGAAGAACAGGTGATGCTCCGTGGGGTCTCACCACCGCGCCTCGCCCACGGTCACCGGCGGCCCCCGGCAGGGAGCGCCGGCATCACGCAGCGCTGTGCGGATGGGTCCGGTTCCACGGCCGGGGGACAGGTGTCTGTCCGGGCGTGCACCGGTGCGCGGTGCTCGTGTTTGCAGCGATCCCTTTGTGCAACCACCTGCCGGCTCCCGGCCCCCGCGCGGCGCCGAGGACCGGGCCGGGGCTGAGGGGCGATGGAGCGGAGGGTGCCGCTCTGCCGCTGACCGCGGCGCGACCCTGCCGAGCGGCCGTGGGCGGGAGGCGGCGCGGTCGTGCCCGGGGCTCCGCGGCCGCCCGAGCACCAGCGCGGGGGGCGGCCCCGCTGGCGTGCGTACCGCCTTCCCCTTCCCCCTCCCCGCTTTCCTCCCTCGGTGTGCAGGCTCCTTTGTGCTGCCTGCAGCGGCGGGGAGGAACCGGCGGGCCAAGCGCCCGCGCCGCAGCGCTCTCCGTTGCCGTGGGCGGGCGCCTGGCTCGGCTCCCACGCCATCCGCGACCCTCCCGCCTCCTCGACGGGGCTCTCCGCCGCGTGTGGGACCGCCACCCCCGCCGCGCGGGCCATCGCCGTTTTAAGCGGAGGGCCACGCCGGGAGACGGGGCGGGCCGGGCGCGCCCCCCCGGCTCCCCCACGTGGTGCGGTGCCCGTGTCTCCCGGCCGCCGGCGGAGCCGGGCGCACACGGCGTGGGGCAGCCGCCGGGGCTCGCCTGCTCCCGTCGCCGCTGCCCGGGCGGCAGATCCGGCCCGCGGCCATGCGCCAGAGCTTCGCTGAGCGGCCGAGCGGCGGGGCTGCACCGCCGCCGCGTCCCGCGGTAGCGGCGTGAAGCGGCGTGAGGATGAAGCGGGCGAGGCGGGCCGCGCCGGGCCCCCTGCCCGTGCTGGGGCTGCTGCTGCTGGGCGCCCTGCCGGGGCTCTGGACGGTGCTACTGCGGCGGGAGGCGGCGGCGCTGCCGGAGCCGCGCCCGCCCGCCGGGCAGTCCCCGGGGCGATGGGGCTGGGGGCGCTCCTCGCCGGTGCGGGGCGAGTCCGGCGGCGGCGGGCAGAAAACTTTTCGGACGCTGCTGGCGGTGCCGGCGGCGGCGACGGACCGGGAGGAGCGGGACGGTGAGGAGCGGCTCGCTGTGACAGACTCGCAGCCGCCGGCCGACGCCGCCTCTCCGGTGGAGCGGGGCATCTTCTGGAGCCGCGAGCTGGAGGAGCAGGTGCCGCCGGGCTTCGCGGCGGAGGAGGCGGCGGCGTGGCTGGCGGCCGCCCGCGCAGCCCGCGTGGCCTCGCTGGAGCGGGGCGGCTGCGGGCGCAGCTCCAACCGGCTGGCGCGGCTGTCGGACGGGAGCCGCGCCTGCGTCCGCTACGGCATCAATCCGGAGCAGATCCAGGGCGAGGCGCTCTCGTATCACCTGGCCGGGGTGCTGGGCATGCAGGAGCGGCTGCCGCCCATGGCCCTCGCCCTGGTGGAAGCCCGCGGGCGGCAGTGGGAGCCGGTGCGCGAGGAGCTGCGCGGCTCGCACTGGGCCGAGGGCGCCGTGGTCAGCCTGACCCGCTGGGTGGACAATCTCACCGCCGTGGTGGCCCCCGCGCCCTGGGGCGCCGAGGCGGGCGCCGGCCGGCGGCTGCAGCCCCTGTCGGCGGGGGAGCTGGTCGGGCTGTCGCCGTCGCAGCTGGTGGAGCTGGTGCAGTGGAGCGATCTGATCCTCTTCGACTACCTGACGGCCAACTTCGACCGCCTGGTCAGCAACCTCTTCAGCCTGCAGTGGGACCCGCGGGTGATGCGCCGCGCCACCAGCAACCTGCTCCGCGCCCCCGACGGCGGGCTCGTCTTCATGGACAACGAGGCGGGGCTGGTGCACGGCTACCGCCTCCTCTCCATGTGGGACCCCTACAACGAGCCGCTGCTGCGCTCTGTGTGCGTGTTCCGCGAGGGCACGGCCCGCCGCGTGGCCGAGCTGCACCGCCGCCGCAGCGCCGCCGCCGAGCTGCGCCGCCGCTACCGGGCGCGGGAGCCGCTCTGGGCGCGCCTCGGCTTCCTCTCCGAGCGCCAGGCCGAGCTCCTGCAGGCCCGCGTCGACTTCGTTCACCGGCACATCGCCCACTGCCGCGCCCAGGCCGCCGTGCTCTGAGCGCCCCGGGGCCGCCGCGCTCCCGCTTGCTTTCCTCCGCTCCAGGGCAGCGAGGCGGACTTGGCCCGGCAGCGGCCGCGGGCCGGAGCTGACCCAGGCTGCCACCTCGGTGCCCCGCAGTCACTGCGGCTGCCGGGGACGGGGGAAGTGATAGGCTACCTGCCTGCCGGGGCTGCCGAGGAGCGATCGATTCGCTTTGGCAAGAACTCTGAGGATGCAGAACGCAATCGCTATAATTACTGCCCAGTTCCACTCCAGGACTCTGCCCCCAGAGTTGGAAAAATGAGAGGGTTCAGCATCTTCAGTTCCTTAACTCTGTTCGTGCACTCGCCCTCATAAGAGACCCCATAGGAAAGCAGTCGTCTTTTGTCTGGATTGGGGTCGAGTAACTTGTTTCCTTCCAACGAAGGCAGGCAGAAATTTTTTTATGTATTACTCCTTTTGCAACGGCATATTTAAGTATGAATGTTGATGTTCATAGACCAAGAACTGATTGCACAATAGGGGAGCCCCCAACTAGCGAAACTGCCCTATTTATGAAACTTGTTTCCTACCAGTTTTCTTTAACGACAGTGAACCTTTCCACTGATTGTTAAATCTTGTTGATGAGAAGTGTATAGGAAGCCCATATTCTTAGTTTTTTTGTGGATTCATTGGGTTAAACTGCTCTGATTTTTAAGGGTTTGCTTGTAATCTTAATAATCTCATCTCACCAGTAAAGTAACTGACTAATGGGTGGCACAAGAAGATCTCCCATTTTTAAAAAATACTGCTATGTGCTAAGACTTTGACACAATCGTTAAAGTGGAGGAAAAACTGTTTCATGCACTTTACTTTGACTTTTTAATATTTTTTTTATAGAAGACCTTTTTATTTTACAAAGTCTGCCTTTTATGTACATTGTATATGTTCATAAACTTTTCTGTAACATACTAAAGAAACTGATATTTCAGTAAAGTGTGTTAATGTTTTGCCTTTTGTGGCCTGGATGTTTGCCTGAGCTTTGTCAGGGAAGCATGCATCTCCTCGGTCTTTCCTGCTCGCTGATGGAGGTCACCACTTCACAGCTTGTCACTCCACTGAACAGAATGAACTTTTACTCATTCCCTCTGAGGCAAGGAGTGGTAGAGTTAAGCTTTCAAACACTACTCTCATTCCTAGGTGTCCCTGAAAGGGGAAAAGCTCTTGGAGTGGCTAAAGCAGTGTGAGTGCTTCGGCTGAATAGACATTTATCTGGTTTTCAAAGCCTGAAATGGAGTGCCTGGGCTAACCTCGAGATAACTGAAGCAGTTAGCTTCAGCAAGCTGACAGAGCAGGTGAGGGCTAGCTGCTCTCAGCCTTTTTGGGTGCTGGGCCTGGATACCAACCTGGCATAGGTCATGTCACCTGTCCAGAGGTCTGTCCAGGGATGGCAGTTGCTTTCAGTGGTGTTCATACTGTCTTCCCATTTTGGTTATCTTTGTAATAAAGAGATTGAGGCAGAACTGAAGAACAGGAAAGTTTTTTAATCATGCTGAAGTAGTTGGTGGGGGATTTTTTCCCTACAGAAGTTCTGTTCTAGGGCAAAGTAGTAGCAGTGGATGTACAAAATAAAATATTGGCGTCTCTTGCTTTTTTAAATGTACCAGTATTTATAGAAGAGGTCATTGTATGGCTTGAAATAACGCCAGAATAAGGACAAAGGATAAACTAATCCTTTTTAGACCCCAAATGCCAGTATATATCCTAGTATAAACAAACAGCAGCATAATCTCTTCTACATCTGGACAGGCAGCTCTTGATGAAGGCAGCAGCATGACCCAGTGGCTGCTGTGCAAGTAGGTGCTGTTGTCATTGTTGAGCACTAACCCTCCCTTGAACTCAGGGAGGGATGTGCATTCCGACCTGCAGGAGGTCTTTGGTCTATTAATATTCATTATTTAGATTAAACTTCACATAAATACAATTTTCCTTGGCCATGAGTGTTGTTGGGGGGGTTGGGGGTAGTTTTTTAATAAGACAACAGTTTTACAAACAAAAATAATGGTTGATTAATTAGAAATGTTAGATAGTGCATCTTTGTGTATGAGTATTTATTTCAAAATGTCCCAGCAGCTTGCAAGACTAGCTTTCATTCAGCTGCTGAACTGTCAAGGCTCTCTATTGAACTTGTATTTATAGTTCACTGCATTTATCTCTAGGAACAATGCACAGAATCCCATGTGACATTCCCTTGTCATTTACATGATAATACACAACTTAACTGTAATTCTTAATTCTTCTTTAGCATTGCTTTGTAACTGGAATGCAGCAGTTTCTGTCACATTCACCTCATGAAAATATATTTAAATAATAAACTGCTGGCATACATTTTAAACCACTGTGAAGAGCAAACTGCTGTGCCAAAAGCATCTAAGGTTTTATTTCTTTTTAAGTACTTCTATAATCATGGCACAACTGTGGCTTTGACGGCTAATGAGAAGTAAATCTTGTTTGCAATGTCTTTAGAGCCAGAGCCTAGCTAATTACCTCTTTCAAGAAGAAATATGATTTCCTATTTGGTGACTGGTGACTACCTCAAGTTATATATAAGTTTATATATAAGTTACATGTTCAAAAATGGTGTAGTTGTAGGTTGGTGTGAAACTAGAGATGCTGTGCTAGGGAAGCAATGCCATGGGAAATATGTTCATTCAAGAAGGATGGACAAAACTAGTGCAGATGGATGACGATACTTCATTCTGTTGCTCTGTTTTATTCTGGTGCAGATCATCTTCTGTAAAAGCTTTGAATTATCATTATATTAAGGCAAACTTAATCTTTTCTGTGTGATTTCTTTAATGCAAACAGTGCTTTGTAAATTAGTGGTCTCACTAATACGTGCACTTTTTGCATGTATTTTAGCTATAAGTGTTCTGGTACATTTGACTATCCTCCTGCAGAACCAACTGAAACTCTAAAACTTGATGTGTAATTTATGTGGCACTCCTCTAACTGCTTACTTCCAGCAGAGTTTCCTTTGAGTCAGAGTAATCAGGCAGGCAAGGAAGGCTGAGAACAGGAAGACTTCAGGACCTGAAAGTTGGAGTAGAAGGTTGTCAGTAGTAGGATCAGCAGGCTCTGGCTATGCATTGCCAGCTGCTCAGCAGCACTTTACCTGAGGCTCAAGGAATTGTCTGCACAGCCTGAACCAGAATGGGGCTGTAGGGCTTTAGACCTCACTCAGCAGAGCACTTAAGGATGCACTTCCCGCTGCTTTTCACAGCCTTTCCATAAAGTATGTGTTGACGGGTGGGCTTCAATGGTGCCTTGGTCAAATGTAGCCTCCTGCACAGATCTGAAGAGGCTGGGTGAGGGTCACAGCCCAGATGTGGTCTGGGTCTGTCCCAGGTGTGACACAGGAGGTGCTTAATAAGTAAAGAAGGTAGGAGACCTAGGTGCTTAACTGGTAACACAAGCTTCAGGGGGAAAAAAACCAAACCAAACAAAAAAACCCCCCAAAACAACAACAACAACAACAACAAAACAGCAGTAAAAACCCCCAAAACAAAACAGGGAAAAATAGCTAGAGAGGATTTAAATGCACTGCATTCAGTTCTGTGTTTCTCTATGTTTCCCCAGTTAAATTCAAAATAACTCCTCATTTTTTCTTGCATTGGCATCTGAGGAAGCTTGTAGGGTTAGGTGGTTGCTGCTATTCTCAGCTTGGGTTCACATGGGGACAGTGTCTAGCACAGTGGAGGGAGGACCAAGTTCACAGTTTCTGAGAACTAAAGGATATCAAAATTGCCTACTGTACCCCCAGGGTGCACCAAACAGCAAAGCCTGTGAATTCAGTGAGGCTCCCTCTTGGTGAAAAAAGCAAGAATGTTGTTTGCAGCACAAATTTCCTTTGCCTCTCTTTGCTTGCATCTGAAGTAATTTCCAGTATGGATTTGTTTTCAGTGTAGATTTCCATTTGAGAATTTCCTTCACAGCTTGGGAAGCTCTTCCCAGGTGCAGAGTTCCCTTACCTCTCACACAAAGCAGCTGCCCTGGGGATGGAGCTGTGTTGACCTCTGGTGCCACGCTTCGCTGCCCTGCTGAGGCTGTGTCAGCCCATTCAAAGGTTGGGGAAATAGCTCAGGGCCAGTGGAAGACAGTGAAAATATAGTTAGTAACACTTTGACTCGATGGTCGTACAGCATGCTCTTGACATCACCAGTGTATTCTTTTGCTTTCCCTTTGAAGTTTGATGCCTTTTTTAATGTTAATAAACTTAGAATTATCTCACTGACATTACTAGGTGGTCCAGGACTGTGAGATAGGAGATTATATTAAAACTTAATCCCATTTTGCATGTTATTCCTACTTTGCAACCACAGCATGAAATTTAATCACTCCTTCAGAGCTGTGCTCCCTGGGTTAAATGTGGCAAAGCTCCTGGGAGAAGGAGCTGGGCTGCACAGTAAGCAGTGCCTGCTGGGCCCCCTCAGAGCTCCTGCTACTCTCAGTGACCTAAAAAACCTTTTACCTTGCTGGCTTAGGTCCTAATAGAGCTTTCCCTTCGGAAGCAATGCATGCTTATCTGAGCAGAAGTTAACTTCCCAATGGGGTGATTCATGTATTTTATTGTCAATCAACTGGTGTTTTAACAAACATTATCAGTCCCACACTCAGGGACTGTTTAATCTGAGTGTACTTTGGGTATGGGGCAGAAACAAGGTGTTAGACCTGTGATGCCTTAACACCCTCCTGTGCTGTGGCTTCCACTGCCTGCTCCAGGGCTGGATGAGTTTCTGGGAAAGAAGGACACACACAAGCCTGCATGAATCAGGGCTGCTGCTGTGTGCAGGTGTGAAAGGAGCTGTGCAGATGAAGGAGACTGATTCCATCTGAAAGCAAATCTGAAAGTGCTGTACTTATGGAAAAGAGCTCTGGCTGGATTATTGGAGGATGAACAACAACAATAGGACTGAGAAGGGGGTCTGACTTTGCAAATGGATTGTCTGGTTTTGCATGATGCTGCTATTCAGCCGCTGCCTGTAGGGTTTGGGTTGTGGGGTTTGTGTGTGTGCCACTTGCTCAATTTCTGCAAGAAAACAAACACAAGAGAAGACTGACTGCAAAAT